CCCAAGAGGGTTGTTGGCTTCTCAGGATAGAAACCAAAGTGAGCCAGGAAGAAGTGAGAACGGAGTTTATCGAATAGTGTAATGAGAGAGGATTGCAGAGTGTGTGGGGGACCCAGAAAGGAAAGGGTCTGGGGTGAGCCTCTCCTTTGCTCAGGGTCTAGGGTTTTTGCTGAGGGTGGTACACAAGTACTCTCAGGCACCCAGGAACCAGTCAGAACAAGGACAAGCATCCAGGTGTCCTCCACTTCTGATAAAGTCACTTCTGTCCAAGGGCCAGGGTCTTGGCATCAAGATGCCTAACGTCAGGGGTCTGGAACATGTTCCCAACAACCCCACCCAGTCACTCCTTCCGTGTTATCTACTGGGCCAGGAAACTCCAAAGAAATTGTGAACCCCGTGGCCTTTACAGTTAGGACACATGTTATTTGTACTAGAAGGTGTGTTTGAGGTGGGGCTGCAGGTCCTAGCAAGAAACAGGGAGAGGAGCCAAAAGCAGTCTCCTTGGAGTCCCCCCAGTGTCCCTGTCTCAGGTGGGCCTCCCTCCCTCTTTCTGTGGTTATCCTCACGCCTCCAGGCCTTGCACCCCCCAGCACCTCAGGCGCATGGCTGGACCTCACACAGTGAGGAATGGCAGCCTGGCCTCTGAGTGCTCACGGGGCTTCTCCTGTGTGTAGCTGTCCCCTGCACCACCCTGACCACCTTTCTTCCCCACTGTCTGTACCACCTGGCTTTGTCTTGTGTGTTTGTTTTTCACATGTTTGGTCTGTTTCCCTGCTAAACCATCTGCAACTGAGACCAGGACTTTGTCTCTTTTGTTCACTGCTGGGCCCCCAGTGTTACAACAATGCTTGGTGTCCAGTTACTGTTTACTGAGCAAATAAAAAGTTTAAATAACTGGCTATAGCTGATTGACTAAAGCCAGTGATATTGAGATGAGTGTAAATTTAAATACAAAAGTGCAGAGGCGCCTGGGTGGCTCAGTGGGTTAAGCATCTGCCTTTGGCTCAGTCAGATCCCAGGGTCCTGGGATGAAGCCCCACTCATCAGAGTGTCTGCTTCTGAACCTCTCCCTCTCCCTGCCTCTTTCTTGTGGCGCGCGCTCGCTCTCTCTCTCAAGTAAATAAAATCTTTAAGTAAATAAATACAGGAGTGCAGAGGGAATAGTTAAGTCATCAAAATTGGGAGGATAAGAAATGGTAAAAGGGGCGCCTGGGTGACTCAATCATTTAAGCAGTTAAGCGTCTGCCTCTTGGTCCTGATCTCATGGCTCAGGGGAAGGAGCCCCATCTGGCTCCACGCTTAGGGGGGAGTCTGCTTGGATATTCTCTCCCTCTCTCCCCCCACCCCCTGCCTGTGCCCTCACTCTCAGTTTTTCTCTCAAATAAATCTTTTTTAAAAAATTTAAGATTTGTTGAAAAGAAAACCACATGCCCAAAATGGTGTCACTTAGGCCGAGTCACCAAACTGGGGCTTAATACCTAACCTAAGCGCGGTTTCAACCTCCCCCAGAAGTCTAAATCTGACAGGAATTTTCTGATAGGCACCAACAAGATAATCTAACTGTATAATAAGCCCCCTGCCCTTCCCCCTAAGGGAAAGTGACCTTGCAGGGGACAGTCCTTTTCTTTTGCTAATAACTTCCTTGCCCCACTCTCCTTCCTATAAAAATCTTCCATTTCGTACAACTCCTTGAAGCTCCCCCTCTGCCTGCCAGATGAGGGGGCTGCCTGATTGATGAATCGCTTAATAAAGCCCATTTGATCCTTAAATTTACTTGGTTGGATTTTGTTCCTTAACAGATTGTAAACCTCCCCTAAATTATGTCGTGAGTCCCACGCTCCAATTGGGATCTGGGCTCAGTCTGATGGGATGGTTGCTTGCTTTTCTTTAGGAACCAGCATCCCCCCATTAAGACTGATGGGACACCTTCTCCTAGAGAACTGTGGCATCTCTAAGGTGGTGTCAAGAATCAGGACCCATGCAGATGGTTGGCCCCCAGGGCAGCCACCCCAGAACATTCATTAACAACTAGATTCGGGGCAGGGGCTGGGAAGGGAGAGAAACAGACCAGAGTCTTGTGGACCCTGTGCCCTGTCATCTAACTGCTAAGGCCCAGGATGGAACCTGGTGGGCGAGAACAGATGACAAAGGCCTACGGAGGGGAGCTGCTGGGGCCAGCAAGTCGAGCCGAGGAGGTTCTTGGGATGTGTGTGGTTTTCCCATTCCCTGAAAGTGGTGCCAGGAGAGCGGAGGCGGTGGTGTTACGTGAAGTAACGCTTTTTCTGAGGCACAGATGGAAAAGTCACTTTTATTTTAGGCCCAATGCTTTTCCTCCCCTACTTCCCCCAAAGCATCAGTTCCATCCCAGGAGAACCACCCAAAGGGACACTTTCAGATTCTCAGCCTCTAAACAGAGCCCAGGAGCTCAGGGCTGTTAGCACTGGCATTTAAAAAGGCACAGGGCCCTGATGCTCCCCTGGGGAATCACCTCAAACGACTGAGGTGTGGGTGTGGAAAAGTGGAGTTAGGGAGTTGGAGCTGGCAGCCTCAAGTCTGAGTTTTGTTCTGTGTCAGCTCTCCGGAAAACCCCCATTTGGGACAAACAGTGCTCAGGAAGAGCTGAGCGCATGGCCTAGTTATAGGCAGTGTTAATTATGGGCTCTCCCGCGCCTGTAGTCGCTTAACCAATTTCCAGCGCTGTTGATTGGGCCTGATTTATCCCAAGGCATCCCAGGCGCCTTGCTCGGAAACTTCTCCTGCCACATTGGCCTGGGTCAAGCTGTGGTGTGGAGTAAGTGCTAGGTGGGGGCAAGGAGGGAGGACGGTGCCAGGCTCCAGGTTTGGAGCTGGTGGCACCTGCACTGCTGTCCCCAAGGGGCTTTTAAAGCAGCTGATGCACTGCACTGGCTGAAGAGGAAGCGTGAAGGTGGCCGTGCACAGCACCTTTTGGGGTCCTAAGACTCCTGGCAGGCTGTCCTCACCCAGCTGGGCCTCCAGAGCCTCACCTCACCCTAGGCACAGGCATTCTCTTTTCATAGACATTCTCCCTCCCTGGAAAGTTCATTGGCCCACCCACACATGCGTGCACCTACGTGCACAGTCCCCCAAAGGCCCTGGTAAACAGCTCTCCCTCTTTAGTGGAATCTCATTGTGTTTTGTAGACTTCATTCTTCTCAGCTGGTTTGTGAAGCGGGCAAGGGGTATCATTACTTTCACTTGTTAAGTTGCCTGAGAGGAAAAATAACAAACAAGAAAGGTTTTCCTCCTCCAAGAGTCTAATTACTTGTTGGGTGAGCCTCGACCCATATACGTTTCTAAAGAGAGACACCTGATGCCAACAGAGGCAATGTCCTTGGACAGGGTGCAGAGACCCTCTGCTGGCCGTTACCCCAGTTGGTGGCTATGCAGCCATGCAAGACTGTTGCCAGAACTTCCAAGGAGTTTAGGATGCTGTGTTTCTTGCCTTGAGTAGCTGAACAGTCCATGCTCTCTCGAGCTTCTCTGCATTTGTCATTTCTGTGCCTTTGCTGGGTACATGCTTTCTTTCCCGTTAACCATGCCCTATTCCTCAGCCCCCCTCCTCTGCCCTTCCCTGGCCCCAAGTGAATTTCTCCTCTGAGCAGACTCTGCACCTTTCACCTGCTTTGGTTTTGAATTCACTCTCCTGTATTTTTTTAATTTGCCTGGCTCCCCCCTCCCTCCTAGAGTGTAAGCTCCCTGAGGTCAAGGTCTCCAGCAGGCCACCTTTTTATCTTGGGCACCTAGCATGGTTCCAGCCCATGGAGGGATCCACTGAGGTGTGCCTTTCAGAGGGAACTTTCACCCCCAGTGAATGGCAGTGAATGGCAAAGGATTCAAGCATGTGCTACTAATGCGCTGCTAGCCTAGTTTCCAAGTTCTTGATCCTGATGCATCTGTCAAATTCAGCATTGTCAACAGTTCTTGACACTGCCAGATTATCTTATGACTGGCCTTCAGTTTCCCTCTTACTCCGGTACTACTTGATCAGGTTTGTTTAGGGTTCTCTCCAGTCATTCATTCATTCTGCTTCCCCCCACATACCAGCCCCTCCTCCAGGCACTGGGTGTGCAGAGGGCCCTGCCCTCGTGGAATTTACATTCTAATGGGGAGATGGGGACAATAAGTGAGTAAATCAATCAATAAGATGACATAGAAGAATGACAGTGTGGAGGCATGGACCCCACCTCTTGGTGGGGTGTGGAGAGGTCACAACACAGAAGAGCAAGTGGGAGGGAGACGGTTGTATCCATCTCTGGGAAAAATGATCCTCCACATTGTTTTTTGTTTTTCTAGTTTCCTGGTTCTGAAAATGTCCTTAAGTAGTCCTATAGAAGAAAAGCCCCGAGTACATAGGGTTTTCCCTCCTTGTTGGTGAGGTCAGATTACCGTTCAGGTTTTGTCAAACTAGTCAAGAGACCATGGAATTTTGAACTCAAGCTGGCTGTGGAGATGTGTCCCAGGCTGCAGGGAGTGCCCTGGGCTGGAATGGTGGACCTGGGAACACCCAGATGTTGCTGCAAGGGCAGCATCGTCGAGTCAGCAGTAGGCTTCGAGCTGGCCTCAGCTGGTAGTGGTAAAGGGCCCAGGGCTGCTGCATTGTGCATCTTCTGCATCTTGCAGTTTTGGAGGCCTCTGGTTTAAGTCTCTTCATCTGGCTTAGCTCTGGGCAGCCCAGTGCCCCGACTGCTGCCTGATGGAACCAATCAGGGTGTCATCATCCCTGGGCCCTTGCAGTGCAAGGCGGCCAGAGCTTGAAGACAGGATAATGAACCATCAGGTTCGGGATCCGTGGGTGGCGCAGCGGTTTGGCGCCTGCCTTTGGCCCAGGACGCGATCCTGGAGACCCGGGATCGAGTCCCACGTCAGGCTCCCGGTGCATGGAGCCTGCTTTTCCCTCTGCCTGTGTCTCTGCCCCCCCCCCTCGTATGACTATCATAAATAAATAAAAAATTAAAAAAAAAAAAGAACCATCAGGTTCACAAAGCTCCAGCGGATGTCTCAAAAACAAGTGGTTGCTTGATTCCTCCAGAAAACACTTGTGGTGCCAGAAAATGCAGAAACTAAACCCCTTAGGCCAGGGGTTGTCACTTCCAAGGGTATTCCCTCCTGTGGGAATAGTGAGCCTGTCTCCTTTGCCCTCCTTAACCCTCTGCCCTCCCTTGGCCTGACAGATGGAGACAAGTATTGGTGGTGCCCCTCGCTGCAGGAGGTCATGGAAGCATTTCACAGCCTGGGAGCCCACAGCCCTGCTGTGGGCCTGCAGGGCCTCTGCCAACACAATGGGAGGTGAGTACTTCCCTTTCCTCACCATCCTTTATCTTTTGTTTGACAGTTGTGCATCTCACTTCAAGCCCAACAACTTGTATACATTAGATATGCACAGGGTTTTCCATATCTATTATACTTCAGTCAAAATGTTAAAACAAAAAGCAAAAAACAAAAAAAGACCCAAAAAAGAGAGATGCATTCTTCTAAACATTTATTCATGCTAAAAAATATTAATTTATGGGTGCCTTGGTGGCTCAGTCGGTTAAGTGTCTGTCTTCAGCTCAGGTCATGATCTTGGGGCCCTGGGATCAAGTTCCTCATCAGGCTCTCTGCCCCACAGGGAGTCTGCTTTTCTTTCTCTCTCTCCCTCTAATCCTTCCACTTGTTCGTTCTCTCTCTCTCTCTCTCTCTCTCTCAAATAAATAAATCTTTTTTAAAAAAAGTATTAATTTAAAGTATTTCCTATTCTAGGGGGAGTGAGAGGGAAGAAAAAAATCATAAGGTATTTCCTATTGTAAAAAGGTCATACCAATGTAATGGGCCATTTGTTGTACAAAAGCATTATTGCTTGTAGTATGCATCCTTAGAGCCATAAACATTTTTAAGTTAGAAAAAAAGAAAGATTTCCTGTGATAATTACATAAAATTTATGTGCATTTCACGGGGATTAAAAAAAATTGCCAAACTCCAGCTCTAGCCCACATAGTGAAGCAGAGTCTGAGGGATTATAGAACAACTACATACAAGCACCCGTGGATATGAGTATCGCACCATAAATGGCTAATGTTCACATAAATGACCATGCTCCCAGCTTCAGGGGGATGGAAGAACCAAGCAGAGATGAGTCTTGCTGCTTTGGCTGACATCCGCTCCTGCCCCTTGGTGACTCAGAGCTCTCACTGCCGGCCTCTTTTAGGACCTGTCCCAATCTCTCTGGTCTACCTCCAAAGCTTCAGTTTTGGCCTATTACCTAATATCAGCTCATGGCCAGCAAGGCACAATTTCATATGTAATTTCCACAATGACCAGTCTTGTTTTGTGGGCACCCTCTTTGTGCACTAGGCTAGGCTGGATTAGGGGGGCTACTAATCTGCATACCCATTGTCCCTGCCCCCTAGGATCAGAGCCATACAATACATAAATGACTATTGTTGGGTGGACAGTGACTAGGTCTGGGTTGTAAAAGTATTACATGTTATAAACCTGTTCTACGAATTATATTCAAACTCTTCCTTGATGATTCTTTGGGAAGACATTCAGGGTGTTTAGGGCCCTGGACAGCATTAGGTGGTATCCGGTCCCCACCATCCTGGTGACAACTTTGGCCCCAGGAGGCACAAGGACCCTCTCCCTTGCCATGGCAGGCAGGTGGGTGTTCCTACACAGAGAAGGCCAAAGCTTTCTTAAGAACCTGTTCCACGACTCTGTTTAGTAATCGTCTGCCAAACCAAACCAGACCAAACCACACTCACTCTGCTATAAATACCCCACGCATGTGCCAGCCTGCCTCACTCCTGCCCTGCTGCCTTCCCGCCGAGTTCCATATCTGGTGTAATAAGCCACTTGCCTCTTCCCCAACACAGAGCTTCAATCACACCGCCTTCTAGAATGACTTGCGGAAAGGATTACACTTCGAAAAACAAATGCAGTTTGAAGATGGTTCTTGGGAGGCCTGTGGGGCTCAGGAGACCTATTTCTAACTGTTCTGATGAGCGCCTGGTGTCCACCTAGAAAGTGAGAGGTGCCCTGGCAGACAGAAGCAGATAACTACCCAGCTGACTCTGCACCCTGCACAGGGCCACTTTCTCCCCCACACTTCTTCCTTCCCCAGGATTTGAAGGCTTCCTGCCCCTAATGCTTCCAGGCAAATCCATCCTCTCTGGAGGCCACAGGGTGCAGGTGGGCATTAGAACTATGGCTGTTTAAATCTGCCACCCTCAAAATACTTGGAATCACAAACCCTAGCATACAGACTTCTAGCTTGACCAAGCAGTTAGCCCCGGGGTAAGAGGAAGGACTCAGAACTGGCCCAGAGGATCTGGCCGATGGCTTTAGGGGTGATTTTCTTGTGATGGCCCTGTAAGGACAGCTGGGACAACCTCCCTAGCCACTAGCCTGGGGAGATTTTTAGCTTTTTCTGCCTGAACACAGCTTCCTTTTGAAAAGCACAGACACATCTTGAAACCCCTCCAGTGGCCTTCCTGAGATGTGGGGCAGCAGAGATGCTCGAGTGGGTTACCTGGACTGCTGGCTGGCTGCTGCAGTTGGGTAAACTCTGGGAGTCATAGGTTTGAAAGAGAGCTCTTCTAGACTATTTAGGAAGCACTGTGAAGATTCTGACATCTCCTCCACCAAGGATATGGCTCCTTCATAGACACATGGGCCACTAGAGGAACATCAGGACAGGCTGTCTTCTCCCCACTGTCTTCCTTGTCCTGTTCCTGACCAGGGTTAAGTTCATCCCATGCCAGTTGGCTCCACGCCACCCACTGCGCTGTTAACTTCCAGGGATGCCCTGATCTGGGGCTCCCTGACAGAACAGATGCTCTGGGGGCTCCTCCAGGGCACCAACAGAGCTCTCCTATTGCCCAAGCCTGGAAATAAGGGGTTAGGATATCTCTGCACATGGCCCCACAACTGGACCATCTTTTTAGTATCTATGAGAAAGACAAGTCTTTTAGCATTTGTTCTTAATCTCAGATTTCCTTGAAACCCATCACCATCCTATCAAATGGTTCAAGATCCTGTGGCTAGATCATGTGCTGTCCACCTTGTTGCAAACACAGTAGCCCTCTGCCCAGTGATGAGGCTGGGGAGGGAAGAATCAGGAGGATCTGTGGGGCAAATGGGCAGAAGAGGGACCAGAGTGTGAAGACAGACCAGGAAGCAGAGCAAGAGGTTAAGGGGGGCTTGTGCCACACAGCTACTCAGACACTCTCCATCATGTGCCCCAGTCTCACCTGGGAAGGCAGGGGAGGTCCTTGGTCACCAACAGCTGGTCTAATAAGGCTGCTCCCAGGTTACAAAGCCCAGCTGAAAGTCCCAGTCAGATACACAGGACTGGTCACGAATCTGCTGTAGCCTAGTGCCAGAAACCTTCATCCACTTGGTTCTCTGATACAGCAGCCTGGCATAGAGGCCAGAAGGTAATAACTAAATGACAGTTAATCCATTGAAAGGGCATCCTATCCAGTGTAGGGGAGGCTGGTCACTGGCCATCTCGGGATGGTGTAATTCAACCCAGGTAAAATACACTTCTCTCTCCCTTCCCATTAGCTCAGCATTGATTCCCCTTCACTGCGTTGACCTGGGCTCATAGAGCCTGGACTGGTCCAGCCTGCATGGTGGAGCCCCAACCACTGGGTGCCTTGATGATGGCTCTCAGTTACAGAGGCAGTTGTGCTCACATGCCTCTCTTACCATCCTCCTGCTGAGAATGTCAGCATACTTTACAGACAGTAACTCTATTATTTACATCTCTTGGGGGAAACAAACCTAGAAACTGGGGTAGAGGTCAGTGACGTGCCCTTCTCAAGATTACTTATGAGTGTAGAACAGCGTTGTCATAATCCAAACACCAGCTCCTGGGTGCTGGCCACAGGCCAAGCCCTAACCCAGCCATCCAGGGGTCAGGGCTGAGGGGCAGAGTAGGACAGATGAAGCACTTTGTTCATGGAGTCCAGTGGTGGGACTGTCTCACTGTTAACCTGCCAGAGTCCAGGAGGAGAGCGAGATTGCTAGGCTGTGAATGCCTGTGCTCCTTGGCCTCTGGTTCAGAGCCTGGGGATGGAGGCCTGGGTATCAGCTGATGCCGCGTCACAGATGCAGTCGGTTCAGTCAAGTGGTTCCTCAGAACCTTGGAAAGGCAGGGAATAAAGGACCACACTATATTGCCTGCTGTTCCCAAGGAGAGGCAGTTCAGGGAAATGCTGGAGCATACACCATACACTGGGAGACTGTCTGCCCTCTTCACTTGGGAGGTTGGCATTGCTTCCCAAGGAGGAGAGGGCTCTTGTCATAGACACACTTCCCTCCCCAGCTCACGTTTTCCACACTCCTCCTACCTCTGGCAGCACCAGACTGTCTGAAAGCCCATTCCTCTTCAGCAGAGTCACAGTCAATTGTGTGCCTGCCCCCACCCTCTACGAAGTCAGAAAGCATTCCCACTCATGGCTTCCATAACACATGCATGCTCACAGGCTGGAGCATACCGGAATGCCCCTCCTATACTGACAAGGGGCTGGCAGGTGCCCAGATGTGCACATGCAGCCTTGCCCTTTTTCTGGTCCTTATAAATGTTGGACTCTGGAAGAATGGCCAAGCCCAGTCCTAATCCCTTGCCCCCCCCCAACTTTGATGTGTGGGGGCACCATTTCCCTGGGTGCCTAAAGATGGATTTCTCCTTCCCCTCTGAGATGCAGCACCAGCGCCCAGTAAAGAAGAGCAGAGACTTTTCCCTGGAGCCTGCAGGAACAGAGCTCTCCTCCTTCGTCAGTGGTCAGGCGACTACCCTGGAGGCTGATGTGGTCAGCAGTGTTGCTGTCATCAATGCCTTCATTGTGGAGAGCCCACTGTTATCAGGAACTCCAAACCAGTTAATAAGAGTGGAAAAGTGGACGAGACAGCACAGGAAGCCTTGTCATAAGCTCACCTCAACAGTATACAACAATCAACAATATGCATTTGTCCAGAGAGAAAGAGTCATTTAGTGAGACCGATCCTCTGTTTCTATCCAGGGAATGTGCCTAGAAAGTCTGTGCATCGGTGCAGCTCTGCTGTCCACTGGTGCCCCTCTCACTGTGAGCATCTGGCCACCCTGAGTCCAACTTTAGTCTTTAAAGAGCTGTTTGTTTGTTTGTTTTCATATGACCCTAAGCTCTAACTTCATCTCAACATCTCTGGGCTCAACCAGATCTGTTTCCACACTAGGGAAAAACTGGCCATGCTAGGCTTATTGGCAGACAGCATGTTAGTGTGAGACCTGTGGAGGGGTTCTCATTTTTACTCTGAATGTCCCCATATTACATGCTGACCTTGGAAACCAGCCCCCATGTGGGCTGCAATGTGGTGTACTTTTCAGTGCATGCAAAGAGTCACCATACCTGTATGGACAAAGAACTTTCTTGAGGAAGACTCTTTTGGGGCAGTGGAGTATGATTTTCTGGTCTTTGGGTTCCAGAAAAATCAAGCCAGAGGCCTGGCTGGAATGGGTTGGGATATGGCCCCCAGTGTTCCCCACTCCTGGTGTTCTTCCCCTTGTGTAGCTCTCACTCCCATGCTGAGTCTGGGTGGCCTGTGTGGACTGGAGAAATCAGGAGTGATGGGATGTCACTTCCAAGACCAGGTGATAAAGGCTGTGGCATCTGTCTCTGGCATCCCCCCCCCCCAGATGGCTTGCGTTGGTGGAAGCTGGCGTTGTGTTGTGTTGGTGGAAGCTGGTGTTGAGGATTCCCTGTGGAGAGCCCTGCATTGTAAGGACCTGCTGGTGGGCACATTGCTGGGAAGCAGTTGTTCTAGCCCATTCGGGCCTGACATGACAGCAGCCCCACTCCCAATATTTTGGAGGCAATGTTCTAAGAAACCGTGAGCCAGAACCACCCAGCTAAGCTGCTCCCGGATTCTCGACTCTCAGAAACTGCATGACATGATAATCGTTTTTAAGCCTCTGTATTTTTGAGTCATTTGTTATGTAGCAGTAGATGACCAGCACACACAGAGCATTAGCCCCTCCAGGCTGAAGGGATCATCCACAGGCTCTCTGCTTCTGAGCAGTGGCAGGCCTCCTCTCTGCTGCAGTCCTCCCCTTGCATCCACCTCCTCCCATTTCTTTCCCTTTGTTTTTGTCTTACCTTAGAGTGCTTAAAAACAACATTAGCCTGAGCTGGAGTGAGCAGCAGGACACCCCCCCAGCGATTGCCTTGGACATTAGCCTGAGCTACATCTGTAAGGTGAGTCAGACAGCAGTTTGATGCAGTAGGTACCATGAAGCACCCACAGTGTGCTCAGCACCACCGTGCAGGCACCATGCTGGCTGCTGGGACCAATGCTGCAGAAAGCGCATGGTCCCACGACTGGGCCTGCCACCTGAGTACCCTGTGCCGGGCGTGACTCTGGGTCTTGTGTTTGGTTTTCTCAGCTGCTGCCTAGCCCCTCCTGCCCTGCCTGGCCTCCTAGGAGGAGGCCATCCCTGCCCTAGCACTCTCTCCACTCTCCAGTTCCTGGCACTGTGTGCCCTCACCCAGCCAGTGGCCTACACTGATGGGGACCTCTTGGGCCTGATTGAGTTGCTGTGCCAAGCTGGCCTAGATGTGGAGCTCCGCCTGCTGCCCAAGACCGATCTTCAGCAGCTTCTGCTCCTGCTCCTTCAGAACATCCAGGAGTGGCCAGGGAAGGTAACCATGCCCCCTGACCCCCATCCCCTGCAGCCAAAGCCCAAGCCCTAGCCACCTCATGTGGCCTTGTCACTAGGGACTAAAGTTGCAACTAAGTTGTCACTAAATGGGAATAGCAGGCTTGGAGGTGAGCAGGATGCCAAGGAAACTTCCCTTTCACCCTGGCCTCCGTGACCCCCCCTTCTCCTTACTCTAAGTGGACTGGTGGAGAAGTCGGGGTGGAAGGCCGCCCTCCTGCAACCCACCTTGATGCCTGCTGTCCTCACAGCTCCAGCAGCTCTGCTGCACCCTGAGCAAGGTGTCAGGTCACCACCACAACCTACTGGCACTCGTGCAGTTCTTCTTGGACGTGACCTCTCGAAGCAGGTGGGTGCTCCTCCACCTCTGCCTCCTCCCTCTGACACTCATCCCTTCCCCTGGGACAGGGTGGACTGTGGGGATCCAGAATCCTCCCCTTGAGTCCCAACAAACCTCCCCCTCCTGCCCAATCTCTAAAACCCAGGAGAAAGAACTAAAAATACAACTCACTAATGAGTTCATTACTAAAGGAAAAAAGCCTAATTTTTTTAACATAGTCTTATTAGCAAAACAATTGCCTTATACAATTAGCTTCTGCCAGCATCGCAGCCCCCCACCCCTGTTCCCACCCCTCCTCACCCACCCCCACCCCCCCATCCCCACCCCCCACCTCCCGCCTGCTGCTCCCAGTCCTTGGTAGAGGGTTCCTTCTTGTCCTTCAGACCTCCGCAGCATTATGTCCCCTCATCACTCCTCCCCTGTCCCCGCTCCCAAACTCTCAACATTCTGCTTTATTTTCTGCACAGCATGGCTTTCTGCCAGAAATTTTCTTACTGTTTGTTCCTTATTTATGGTGCCTGTTCTCCACGTTACTTCCCGTATGGAGTCATGGCCATATCCTCCGGCATCTAGAACAGCGCCTGACACACTGTCAGCACTCTGTAAATTCTTTTCGAATGAATGAACAAGGTGAACAAACAGCCCACTGGGAGATGAGACCCTTGCTCTGGACCTGGCCCCACCCAGTCTCTCCTCTCCTCCTTCCTTCCCCCACTGTAGGCCACAGCCATAGGGAAGTCCTTGTCCTCTCTGGAGTGGATCACTCCTTATCTCTCCTCCCATCTGGAATGAGGGCCCTCCCCACCCTTCCAACCATGCCTGTTCTGGGGCCTTTCAAGTAACCCTCCACTGGGGCCATTCCCCTGCAACTTCCTCCCCAGGGGCAGCTTCTGGAAGCCGGCTAGGCATTCCATTCAGACCCATATCCCCAGGGCCCTGTTGGGTGCAATCATCCTGAGCTCAGCTTCAGTCCTGAGATGGAGAGTTCAGTCCCTTTCTGTGAATCTGGTTGAAAGAGAGGAGGCCTCTCCACAGTCCTTAAAGGGAACTTGTTGCTCTATACTTGAAAGAACTGGGCTTCTAGAAGCTCTGAGAACTTTAAGCATGACACCAGAGTAGTACCTTGGTGGGCACCATCTACATTAAGCCCAGATGCATGGGACTTCTTTCCAAATGATCTAAAGAAGCTGACCTCTGTCTCCAGGCTCCCTGCTCAACCCCAAACAGCTAGCCCACTGTGTTGCAGAGTCAGAAATTGTCATCTTAGAGGTCTCTCCCACCCCAGCCCATCATGCCTATTCATCCTAAATCCTGTCCATTCTGATTTCCAAATCCCAAATTCTTGTTTGTGATTGCCTGTCCATGTCAGTTCCGTAAAAACAGGTACCTGTCTGGGTCTCAGCCACCTCTGTCCCACCTGCTCCTGCTTTCATGTCATGTCTCTCACCTGGATGGACGCTGACAGTGGCAATCTGTCCCCTCCTCCCTCAAAGTCTGTCCATTCTGTGGATACATGGGATTATTGTATCTCTGCCTTAACTGGAATAGCCAAGTCCAAATGCTTCCAGGGCAGTGGTGTCCAGCCCGTTTCCTATTTGCTCCCAATAGGCCACATTATTTGTACTTGTTTTTCTTTCTTTCTTTGTTTCTTTTTTTTAAGTACCCTCCTTGCCTAATGGGCTTAAATTTAACCCACAACCCTGAAGTTAAAAGTTGCATACTCTACCAACTGAGCCAACAAGGCGCCCGTTTTTCTCATTCATGTGTACACATACATGCACACACACATATATGTATATACATACACATGTATGTGTACTTTTACGTACATACATGTGTATGGTGAACATTCTTTTTCTTAGCTGTATAGTGTCCCCTAGTCTACACACAGCTCCCTAATCTGGATAGTCATGCAGGGCACCAGCTTTGTACATCTGTGCAAATGTTTCTAGAGGATAAACTCTTTGAAGTAAGACTGCAGTCCTAAGGTATATACATATGAAATTTGGCTTCCAAAAAAACTGTATCAATTAATAATACCATCAGTGGACATGAAAATGTCTGTTTCTCTGCTAGTATTCTGTTTTGTTTTGAAGTTTTAGTCAATTTGCTGAGAAATGTCATCCTTTCGTTCTGATTTTTATTCCTCTGATTGCCAGCGAAATTGAGAATCCTTTCATGTTTATTGGCCTTTTTTTGTTTCTCTTTTTGTAAACTATATCTTGATGCCTCTTGCCCACTTTTCTGTGGAGCAATTAATCTTATTACTTTAGTAATAATTGCTTATATATGTTTCAGCACTCTATTTTCTTCTTCTAAGTCTATACATCATTTTTTTTTGTTACATCACACTTTTTAAACTTTTGTGCATGATACCTTTTGGCAAACTAAGGTTTTGGGTTTTTTATAATTTTATTTTAGAATAGATTTAGCTTGACAGAAAAGTTATATGAATGATATAGAAAGCTGATTCTAATTGAATCTATCATTTTTTCATTATTATTATTTATGATAGTCACAGAGAGAGAGAGAGGCAGAGACATAGGCAGAAGGAGAAGCAGGCTCCATGCACCGGGAGCCCGACGTGGGATTCGATCCCGGGTCTCCAGGATCGCACCCTGGGCCAAAGGCAGGCGCCAAACCGCTGCGCCACCCAGGGATCCCATAATTGAATCTATCTTGAAAAGAAAAGCCTTCCCTACCCGAGATCATAAAAATATTAACTTTGTTATTATTGGTTCTTAATCCTATCTGGAATCTGTTTTTCAAAGATAAGAGGTAGGGATCTAATTTGATTTTTTCCACCTCTGAAGAGCCAATGAGGCCAACACCAACCAACTTTCTTTTTTGTCTTCATAATACACCTTTCCCAGCCGATTTGAGACTACCTTCATCATATCCTAAATTTATGATGTTGTTCATCTGTTAACTGAATCAAATTGATTTCAGGGATCTGTGTCATTTATGGGGATGTCTTTGTAGCTCCAGGGCCTTTGCTAAGTGTTCCTTCAATGCCAGGAGTGAATATAATAGGACAGCCTCACCTCACTTTCAAACAGACACATCAACTACGGTGATTAATTCCTGCCACAAGCTTTGCTAAGAAAGAAGGATGGGGGGGGGGGGCACCTGGGTGGCTCAGTGGTTGAGCATCTGCCTTCAGCTCAGGGTGTGATCCCAGGAGCCTGCTTTTCCCTCTGCCTGTGTCTCTGCCGCTCTGTCTCTCTCATGAATAAATAAAGAAAATCGAAAGAAGGAAGGAAGGAAGGAAGGAAGGAAGGAAGGAAGGAAGGAAGGAAGGAAGGAAGGAAAGAAAGAAAGAAAGAAAGAAAGAAAGAAAGAAAGAAAGAAAGAAAGAAAGAAGAAAGAGAGAAGGAAGAAGGAAGAAGGAAGGAAGGAAGGAAGGAAGGAAGGAAGAGAAGAAAGAAAGAAAGAAAGAAAGAAAGAAAGAAAGAAAGAAAGAAGAAAAGAAAGAAGAAAGAAAGAGAAAGAAAGAAAGAAAGAAAGAAGAAGAAAGAAGAAAGAAAGAAAGAAGAAAGAAAGAAAGAGAAGAAGAAGGGGAGGGAGGGGGAAGGGAAGGGGAGGGAAGGAAGGAAGGAAGGAAGGAAGGAAGGAAGGAAGGAAGGAAGGAAGGGTATTATCTATTTATTTATATTAGATAAAGCATTCAAATAGAACAAAATTCAAAAGGCACCCAGGAGCACCTATTGAAAATGTACTCCTACGTAGCCACCTAGGCTGCCTCCATGTCTCATCTATGCTTCCCTGCATGTTCTCTCCGCCCGGCTTTTCACTTCCAGGTATGTTTTGGCAGTCATTCCAAATTGGATCAGAAAGAGCTTCTAATTCTTCTTTACAGCTTCACTGTATTCACTGTGGTCTTTAGCTAGCCACCCCCCCCACCCCCCGCCCCACTGCCTGCTCCCTGTGGTAGCAACGTTGGAGGAGCTTGCTGGCAACCTTGTTAGGCCCTCGTGGTGGCTGCCCCACTGGGCTCAGTGCCCAGACTGACCCCAGGAAGGAGGGTGTATTGTACATTCTGTCACATTCTTAGTCTACTGACTGGTTAAGCACAAAGTGAGAACTTCCACCAAGATTTGTGTGATGTGCACGTGTGCGTGGGCACACACACACACACCCTGCTCCCAACCTTGTTGACCAAGACTTCAGGGATGCACTGTAAATTTAAGGCATAGTTGAGCTCAACTATGAGAAATGAAAGTAAATACTAGAGCAAACCATTTGAAATAGGGCCAATAGGAAGACTTTCCCTTGGAAGAGAGTCTGTTTTGGGAATCGACCCCTCTGGGGTAACTTCAGGGGCCTGTGGGAAGGGGACTTGCCCTTCAGGCTTCTGTGCAGGGTCTCCAGCAAGTGTTGTGAGTAAGTCTCCGCAACCACTCCGAGGAACCCTTTTAGTGGGAGGGCAGAGGCTCAGGGCTGCTTTTACTCTGCTGCAGGCTGATGTTTGCAGGCCCCAGGCCCCACCTCCTTCACCACCCGCGAATGTTTATTAAATGTCCCTCGTATGCTGTTCAACTGTGGCATCCAGAGTAGAGGAGAAGATGAAACCGGCTTGAGCAGGCTGCGAGATCAGCCAGGTTCTGACCAGCAAAGAGGCAGCTGGCTGCTCACGTACAAGTGCAGGAGCCCTGGGAGAAAGTGGCCTTCAGAGTCTTCAGGTCTTTGTACACTGGGGATAAGAGCCACGACACATGCGGGCGCCCCATAGCTTTCCCCACGTTCCTTACCCAAGCCGCTGGGGTGAGGCTGCTCCCTCCCCTCAGGGAGGGGCCAGGGCCTGCACCTTCCTCGTAGGGTGTCCTGTCCCCACCCTTGCATCACCTCCACCCCACCCCCGCCTTGGTACAGGCCCTAGACCAGTTCATTCTCCCCCAGCCTGTCTATCCTTGACTCCTTGCTCCACCATAACTCCCTCCCCGTGCGCCACCACACGTATCCTGTCCCTCCTGGGCCCCTGACCCCTCTGGCTGACCAGGACTCATTCA